TCAGGGGCAGGGAATGTTTGACCCCGTAATTACACCAACTTTAGCTGGGCTGGCCTTGCTTTTCTCAAACTTGTTTTTTTTTTTTTTTTTTTAAAGTAGGCTCCATGCCCAACATGGAGCCCAAGGTGGGGCTTGAACTCACAAGCCTAAGTCAAGGCCTGAGCTGAGATCAAGAGTCAGACACCTAACCGACTGAGCCACCCAGGCGCCCCTCAAACTTGTTTTTTAGCTCGCTCCTCCCTCAGGGTCTTTTCACTTACCGTTCCTCTGGCTGGAATGCTTTTTCCAAAGCTCTCTGAAAGGCTGCTTTGCATCTTTTTTGATCTATGCCGAAACGCTACCTCCTTAGAGAAGTTTAAGACTTGCCCTCTAGCATCCAGTTTCTCTGTCTGCACTGGCCTTTCCCCTTCTTTGTGGCCTGCTATCGGACATTCCAGTAAGTCAAGGAGCTTTATTGTCTGTCTCCCCCAGAGGGATGTGGGCTCCCAGGGGGCAGGAACATTGTCTTGTTCACACTCAGTTCAGTGCCTGACCTTCAGCAAGTGCCCCATCAATATTTGTTGACCACTGGAATACAGCCCCTTGAATAAACAAATCAGCCTCCACAGGACGTCTTGGATGAGGTCTCTGGTTGTTTAGAAATCTCTGGGGTGGCTTGGCTGTAGAAAGCTGGGAGAAGCAGGGCCCTGGGTGTCGTGCTTTTCAGGGAGCCCAGGCTTATCCTCCAAAAGACCCGGGGGGCCTTTTTTCTGCCTCCATTGCTGAGGCGACAACGGAGCAGTGTCCCATCGCTCCAAAGGTGTGGGCTGCTGGCGTCACCTGTGCCACAGCCTGAGGACGTGGGCAGTGATGGGGAGAGCCCGAATACATAAATTCCTGGTCACTTAGTCGGTGAGGCTGTGAGGCCACAGTCTGTCCCTTGGCAGCTGCCAGGAGGAGCCTTGCTGGTCTCACGTGACCAGGATTCCAGGGCCCCTCAGCGGCCGCCTGCTGGGATCTGCAGAGGGGATTATTGATGAAGGGGAGGGGCGGCAGCTCAGCTCTTTACCGTAACACAGGCCCTCCTCTGGGACGGCAGCCAGGCGGCGAATTAGGGAGCCCAGCAGCTGTCCAGCCTTTCAGGCAGCAAGCGGCAGCTACCCAGTGCCGGGGGTAGGATGGGAGGGAAAGGGACGGGGCACGGGGCCAGAGACCACCCTCCAGGGTGGAGGGGATGGGTGGTCTGGGTTTGTTCAGAAGGGGACATTGAGAAAGGCGCGTAAGGTAGGAGGGGCTGGATGGGAGGAGGAAGGAAGGAGAGGAGGGTGACAGGACAGAGTAGCCCGCAGGTGAGACAGAAGACAGAGTGGCGAGTTGTCCGGCTGGCAGAGAAACCCAGATCCCAAAATGAGGGGGCATGGCGTGGAAGGACGGGGTCAAATGGAGTGTGTGGGCGGTCTGTCTCCTGTCTCCACCAATCTTCCCTATGCCAGTCAGGCCCAAGGGCTTGGGGCTCCTTGCTTCCCAAGGGGAGCTGAGCAGACACAGGCTTTCCCTGGGGGGATTTGGAATTCCCATTGCATTTGTACCTTCGCATGGTCTCTCCACTTGGGAAGTTGCCAAATCCACTTGTGTTCAGGGTTGATTTTACTACAGAACAAGTAAGAGCAGTGGTTCGGGGTCTTGTGGGAAGAACCAGGGCACTTGGAGTAATCAGAGAGCTCCCCCAGTGGGTCCTGGGGGCATTTCCTCTTTACTTCGTGCGCACCTGGGGTAGGGGAGATTTGAGGAAGAGGGGAGGGTGGGGGAAGAAGGGATGGCGTTTGCCTGCCACTTCCTGGCTTAGGTTCTGGGCCATGGAGATTGCCGGGAGAGTGGGGGCAGGTTTGGTTTTTAGCTTCTGGTCAGAGAAGTGGAGATTCAATCCCGCAAGCCCAGCTTACCCTAAATAGTTATAGGGGAGGGGAGAGAATGATGCAGAGGGAATTTCCTGCCAGCCGCTGATGGTTAAACCTCTCTGGGCAACGAATGCTCTGTGCATGAAAACTGGATGTGCCTTTTGAGAGTGCCAACACGTTGCAGAAATAACAGAATAGGCATTGTTTTTCTCTGACCTGAGCCCAAGCCTGGCCCCTTGCCCACCTAGGAGCCTGCACTTTCTCCGGGGATGCCTGGGATGCTTCCTCGGGTGACACGTCTTCTGTATTGCCCGGACCCAAGGCAGCCCCTCATCTATCCACACCTCACGGCCCAGGTGATGGCTCTTGGAGGTGGGAGAAGGAGAGCAAGCATCCTCCTTTCTTCCCTCATTTGCAGAGATAGCCCTGCCACTGGAAACCCACATTTATGGTGCTTTGTGGGAGACAGCCCTTTCATGACGTTGGCCTAAAGATTAGGGAAGAATGCGAGACATCCCTGTTTAGTTAATAACACTGGATAGTGCAATCACCCAAGAATTTTTGGCTGGACCCTTCTCAAGCTGGCTTGTCCATCCATCCAAAAGAAATTCCCTGGTCTTGAGGAATTCACCGTGTGGAGGGGGAATCTTTTTGACAATAATAACTTTCAGACGGGACATGATGTTTCAGGGCAAGGATGTTCGAAGTCCTGTGGGAACATCAGTGATGGACTAGCTGGGGGCTTAGGAGGATGGCCTCACAAAGGAGTGAGGAGGGAGCAGGTTCTCAGAGGAGCCCCCGGGGCCTGTCGATGAAGCTGGATGGACAGACTGAGGCTGTCTGTTTACAAATAAGCCGCTTACAGAACCGACTAAGTAGATGATAGTGAAGGAGACAGGTGCACGCAGGCAGGCGCATGGAAAGCAGCTTGAAGGCATGCGGTGTGGGGAGAGAGGGGGACTCTGAAGCCCGAGGACCAGGGTTTGAGTCAAATGTATAGATTTGGCTAATCTCTTAATGTCCTGAGAGTCAGTGTTTTCATCTCTAAAATGGGGGGTGGGGCTGGGGTGGGGGGGATGATTCCTGCCCTCTCTGCAGGAGTCTTGGGAGAATCGTGAGAGATGATATACTCAAAAAAGTGTAAGTTCTGCCCACGTTAGTTGCTATAAGGGCTCTTCACACATTGCTGTGCTCCAGAAACGTCGAGCTCAGGCCCTGCAGTCCACAAAGGAGCCTCATGCCGTCTACACCAGGGGCCTGCTCTCAGGGGCCTGCTCTCAGGGGCCAGGGAGTGTCAGAGGAGGCTGGGGACAGCTTGCGCACTTAGAGGCAGAGGTGGGACTCCTGCTGGACAATCGCCTCCTCGTCCAGCCCCCACTGGCTCCCTGGGGGAAGAGCCTGCAGACCCAGAAGCAGGAGGTGTCCAGTGCCAGGCCGGCCTCGGAAGGGAGCCTGTTCGGACCGCAGTGGCTTCATCTGCCAGGGGGGCCCCTCAGCCAGCAGCGGGCTCCCAGGGCTGACTAGAGCACAGGCTGTGCTACCAGGATGTGGGCTTTGGTTTCTCTTTCTCTTTTGTCTTGTGCTTGCTGATGTGGCCCACTTAGGGCCCAGGGAAAGGGAAGTGCCCGGGGGTGGGATTGAACTCCCCAGGTACAGGTCATGGTGATGCTGGGGGTAGAGGGGGTGTCGGACATGCCCCACTAAAGCCCTTTCCTTGAGGTAAGGGGTCTGGCCAGGCAGGCTGGGAGAAGGGGGGAAGATGGACAGGTGGGGCAGGTTGAGGCTCCTGTTTGGGGAGGAGCCGGGGAGGGCCAGGCCAAGCTCAGCAGCCCATTGCACTTTGCTCTCATCCTTCACCGGTCTCAGCGCGGGGGTGGGGGGGGCCCTGGGGGGATGCACCCTCCAGGGCCACAAACACATATGCATACAGTGAATTTCAGGTCCCAACTCCTGCCCTTTCGCTTCTGCTCGGCGGGGATGGAGGAAGCCGGTCGTGGGCACCTGCTGGGTTGGCGCCTCCATGGATGACCCTGCTTGGAGGGTGGGCAGCTTCCACCCCTGTCCCGCTGTAGGGCCGAGCCCGACCTGAGCTCTGTCCTTGGGCTCGTGCAGATGGTGCTGCATCTAAGGGGTTTTCAGAGAAGCTGCAGGACCTTCACGTTAAAGTCAGAATCTTTTTTTTTTTTTTAAAGATTTTATTTATTTTTCAACAGAGAGAGAGAGACAGTGAGAGTGGGAACACAAGCAGGGGGAGGGGGAGAGGGAGAAGCAGGCTTCCCGCGGAGCAGGCAGCCCAATGCGGGGCTCGATCCCAGGACCCTGGGATCATGACCCGAGCCGAAGGCAGACGCTTAACGATTGAGCCACCCAGGCGCCCCCAAAGTCAGAATCTTTATCAAATGGTCAAATCTTAGGGATATATTAAAAATGTGTATGTGGCCAGGGGCATCATAAAGTCAGATTTATATCCGCTTGTGGTTGGTTATTGATGTTAACAGGAAGGGCCTTAACAAGAGTAGTGATAAAATAGAGTGAAATAAATATTAGGGTGGTGGGATTGTGGGGAGAGGGTCTCGCACACATTTTGTTGGTGTGCTTGTTTTTCTGTGTGTAGCTGTGCTCGACTCCCCAAATGCTATGACACATTTCCTACGTTATGTGCCTTCTGTGAGGTTCTTGACCGCGCTTGAGAGCAGATGTAGCTACTGCAGGGCGAAGGTGAGAGTGTAATTTGAAGCTAAATGAGAAAGGCATTGGAGTCTAAAATTATACCCCCTCTCAGATTTACAAATGTGCACACATTTACTCTCGGTGCAAGAAGCCCTAAGTCCTAGCCCCATGTGTGAATTGCCTGGGACGCATCCCAGGCTGTCATTGCCGGATTAACCAGACCTGAGCAAGCAGGACTGCACAGAGGAGGTGTAGGGTCCAAGAGAGGGCCTCAGTGGACTGGGTGGGATGCCTGCCTGGTGCTGAGCCCGGAGCCTGGGCAATTGTGGTGTTTGCCTTGAGGCTCCCTCTCCCCCTGGCCCGGTGGGCAGCGGAAGGTAATGAAGGCCTCCTTTTTTATTCCCAGGGACACATGGAAGCCTCCGGCCCACCAGCCAAGGATCAGCTGAGCCCTGGGGCTGATGCTTGCCCCCACTGCTGAGAATGGCACTGAGGCCCAGCCAGGCACCGGGACAAAGGTTAACCCGGGACACTCCTGCACAGCGATCCTGATGTCTGTTCTGAGCCGTGCACTCAGAGGTCTGATAAGTGAGTACGTGACAGGCTCCGCAGGGATCACCAGCCCTCCCTGCCGCAGGGGCACGGACCCAGGTTTGGAAGTTCCAGTTCTGAGCCTGTGTTCTGTCCGAGGGCCTGTCCGAGGGCTGTAGTTCCAGGGTAGGAGGGGAGTGCCCAGCAGGTTCAGGTCATTCCGCATGCTGGAGCCATCTTAGAGCCACATGGCCTCTGAAATATGTGCCCGACCCAGATGGGCTGAATGAGTGATGTCAGACACCCAGCACACAGGAGATGACATCTTCCCACATTCCCTTTCTTATCTGTAGGCTCGTGGATGCTTTGGGCCTCAGGCTTTACCTCTGTGCATTGAGAACTGTATCTCATCTGGGATTCCAGACTTTGCCCAGAGCCATGAGCGGTTCACGTGGCCTTGGGGAGAGCATCCAGGGCACTGGCAGGAGTGGGATTTGCGGTGCCTTAGCTGCTATGGAGGTGGCCACCAGGGGGTCAAGAGGAGCAAGTCTTCTGCTGCTTTTGGCTTGTGGAGGGTCTCCTCCTAAGGCTAGACGAGCTGCGGGTAGAACGCCTCCCCCCCACCTCTGGCCCTGGAGTCTCACCTGTCCTCATATGGCCTTTCTTTCCAGCCTTGGCCTCTGGCTTTTCCTTAATGGTGCTTTAAAACATGATGATTGGCTGGTTCCCAAGCCCCAGAGGTCTGTCTAGCCTGAAGGCTGTTGTCTGCATGAGGCAGACAGTCCCACTGTGGGTCAGGGACCAGCCAGCAGAGCACTCGCCTGGAAGACAAAGAAGGAGAGCTGGTGCTTTCGCACTCGCGAAAGGACAAGCTGTTTGGGAGCTGCCAGGCTGGCCCCTGGGGACCCAGAGCCTTAGATTCCAGGCAGGAGCTTGCAGGGAAGGAGAAGGGCACCTAGGTAATTCTCAGCTTTAGGTAGAACTTGCCGGTTGACAGTTTAACACTCAGGCCTAGCATCTATGTTTCCCTCAGCCTGGGCTTGCAAAATCGTCTGTGGTTGGAGGGCCTTTCAAGTAGTGCGTCTTTGGGGTGATTTGTAGCCCAGGAGGTGTGCACCTGAACTGCGGGGGTGGGGTGGGGGGGCAGAGATGGCCACAGAGACCATGGCGGGTACCCGGTGACTCAGACCAGAGACCAGCTCCCACATCACGCAGAATTCCCCCGGGCAGTCTCCACCATCGGCCTTAGGACTGTTGTACCCTCTGGTCCAGTGACCGCACTCCTGGAATTATTCATTAAGAAATCTTTCTTTAGGAAATAGTCCCAGAGAAGAAAAGAGCTGAATTCTTTTGTTAGAGGCATAAAAAAGATGTTTCTCGTGGTGTCATGGTAATAGTGGAAATGGGAAACAGTTGCTCTCTTTTTGTTGAACACCTAGGTTAAGGAAATTATAGTTTTCCACCTGGTGGAATATCACACCGCCATTGTAATAGTGAGAACATAGGCAATATAACAATTTGGAAAAATGAGTATGATATACTAAGTGAAAATGTCAGGTTACACGATAAGTACATTAAGGTAACTTGTAAAATAAACACATGAGAAATATGGCCAGAGAGAAATGATGGTGGCTGCTAGCCTGGTGGGATTAGGAATTCCTTTTCTTTCTATGATGCATGGATTTGCTTCTTGTGAAACTGAATGTAATCTGGATGAATACACAACACACGTTAACAGTGACTTTTTCTAAGAGGTGGGGTGATAGGGGACTTTTGCTCTCCAGGTCCTTCTTTTCTGTGATGTTTAAATTTTAGGTGTGAGCACGTTACATTTATAATCAGGAAAAATAATAAAGATCTTCAAAATCGTTAGAATTGAAATTTTAAAAAGACCATATTTCCCAAGAAACGAGAACAGAGAAAGGCTGAGGCAGCTAGTTGTTTATACGTGCTCTCATCAGTGTTTATACCTGCCCTGTGTGGGCGCATTCATGCTCTCATTCATTCATTCATTCATTCATGCCCCAGGGATTAGTAGGTCTTATTGCCAGGCACTGTTCTACGCACTGGGCACCCAGCACTGAACGAGACAGAGCCCCTGCCCTCCTGGAACATTCATTCTAGTTGGGGGAGGTAGACAACAGACAAGGAGCAAAATACCAGAGAGTGAAAGTGCTGTGAGGACCGAAACTGGATGATGTCAGTGACAGGGAGGCTATTTTGGATTGGAGACTTGGAGAAGGTCTCAGGGGTGACTGGTTGAGCTGAAATCTGAATAACAATAGAGAGGCAACTTGCGGGGGGAGGGGGAGCAGGGGGGCAACACACAGGATGCCCAGCCTGAGAGCCCCACCTGCCGCCGGGTGCCCTTCCCGGCCTGAGCCCTGGTGAACCTCTGTGCCAAGCTGACTCTGTTCCCCAGGCCCGCTTGCCCCCCTGTGCCTTCCAGCTGGGATTTCCTTAGCATTGGAGGCCTTCTAAAATCCTCTCCAGCCTGCTGATGCTCCAGGTGCCGGGCCTCTCTGGGCAATGTGATGCTGGTCTCTGCTCTTGGCTGGCATGTGCATGGCAGGGCTGCGCCTTCTGAGATTCCCAGCCACACTGGGGCAGGCTGGCGGTCAGGAAGGGTCTGGGCAACGTGTGTCCTGGTGAAAGGTCTTTGAATGGCACCTACCTTGAGGCCCTCAGTGGTGGTTGCCACCGTGGTCCTATGAGGGTCAGCGATGACCCTGGAGGACCACTGTGTGGGTCTTGCCAGAACTCAGCCTCAAGAAAGAACTTGGCCTCTCAGAATAGGCTGAGAGCCTTCAATAGCTCTGACACCAGTTCTGAGCTTCCCTGATGACCTATCTAGAAGCTCATGTCCTTCTTTCTTCCTGTTGTCTCTCCATATACCATACTAGCCTTCTAAAAGCAGAAACTCAGAAAAAGGTGGTGCCCACAGAGGAGCCTGTAGTCAGCTTCAAGGGCAGTGCAGGGTGCTGAGAAGGCTCTGGAGCCAGACTTGCTGGTTTTGAACCCCAGCTCTGCCTTTTCTAGCTGTAATTACTTAGCCTCTCTCTTCCTCAGTTGTCCTGTCTATCAAATAGGCCTGAGTATTATCTGAGTTAATACATGGTAAGCGCTGGGAAGAGTGCCCGATTATTCCTGTGACTTGGGAGGTGGAGGGAGGACCATCCCTGGGGACTTTCCTGGGAGATGCCCATAGCAAGAGTGGGTGGAACTCTGTGGCATCTGGGCTAGCCAGTGACCGCAGATACTGAGCTCCACTTGCTTCCCTTCTGGCCCTGAAGCAAGCCCATGTGCTCCTCCCAACCCCACCCCGCCCCCAACCCGACAACCACCGAGGAAGCTCAGGACAGTTTCAGACCTTGCATCTTTCACCCAAATGTTAGGGCAACTGCCCACACCCCTCTTTGATTCCACTCACTCCCAGTACAGAGCCTGCCAGGAGACTGGACTCAGAGTCCCCCCACTGCCTTGCCCTCAGGGGCCCCCTAGGGGGGCTGTGCAGCTCCTCAGAGCATGGAGCTGAAGCAATTTTAGTGCCTGGGAATGGGGAAGTAAATGAGGTGAAAGAAGAAGGCAGGCCTGCCTCGTCTAGTTGCAGAGAAGGGGAATCCCGATTTTTTAGCAAGATGCTCCTCTGGACAGAAGTTCCCAGAGTCGTTGTGTTGTGGTACCTTCGCTTCCTGGAGCAAGATGGGAGTTTGGGGTAGCACCAAAGGCAATCATCTGGTTTTGCCTCCAGCCTGTCGTGGACTTTCATGGCATTCTCTTCGTCCCTCTCCACTTGCTCTGCTCTCTGCCTAAGGAATAGCTCAGCAGGTTCCAGGAGCTGGTGAGATCCTCTTAGGGAGCAAGACGCAGAAACCCCCCCTCCCTCCCCGCCAGTCACCTATCATCTGTCCCCTTGGAGGGGCAGTGCCCTGCTCTGACAAGTCACCTTTGCTGGAACTCCGTGTTCCCAGGCCCTTTTATCAACAAGTATGAGGGCTCTTGTACTTGAGTGTTGTTCCCCGGTATCCTGCTTGTGAAACCGTCCCCAGCTCTCCAAATTCTTTTCTCCTGTTTCATCCTTGCCCATGCTCTCCTCTTTACTTCACCTTGAGTTTTCCTTCCCCGGCTGTCCTCTCTCTGTGTCATGGTCCTCAGAATGGTTGCGTTTGTCAGCAGGAGAAAGAGGCCGACGTCCAGTGAGCTGCTGGTTCTACCTGATGCAGGCCTTCGCAGGGCTTTGATCCCAGTGCGGAGCAAGGAGGTACTGGGAGGGTCTGGAGCAAAGGGTTCAGGTGGGGGGAGGCCTGGCTGGGGCCAGGGGAGGGTGGGGGAGCTTATCCCAACTCAGAGTTTAAACACTCCTGTGAGTGTGAGCCATGGGTTCAGGGAGCGGAGTTTTGTGAAAATTCAGCCAAGCCAGTGCGGCCTCTCATGAGTGTCTCTACCACCACAGTGTGAGTGGCCGTCCTGGCTCTTGACACGGTCTCATGTCCCTTTTCTCTGTCTTCGCTCCCATCTCCCTGCCTCAGTCAGGACTTCCAGCTTCCCCTGTTTGTCTCGTGCGGAGTAGGCGTGTTCTCCTGGCACAACCCCTCCGACGTGGGCCTGACCTTGCCTAGGTACGCTTCCCCTCTGCCTACCCCTGTTCTTCCAGGGATGGAAGATTCCAGAAATGGAATCCTGTCCTTGGGCTCACCCTGTTCTTTCTCCCCCATCTTCTCTTCTGTTCCACAGCTTGCCCTCCTTCCCCCTTTAACAGTGGCTCCTTCCATCTTGCTTCTGTTCATAGGGCTTGGAAGTCCAGCTCTTCCAAATCACCTACTCCAGGGGGCTGACTGGAGCCCCTGAGTTGTTACTGACTGGGAAACCATCCTCGGCCATGTCTAGAGATGAGCCCACGAGGCAAGGAGGGCAGGGCTTTAAAGTCAGCATTAAGGTGGGGGCTGACCCGAGGAGTCCACTAGTTCTGTTCGGCCGCTGCATAGGATGAACGGGGAGCTTGCCTTGCCTCTCCTCAGCTCAGTCTTCGTTCTCCCATGGGGTGTATGTGCAGTTAT